CTTTGGGAGCTTTGGTGGTGTAGTGCCTAAGACACTTGACTGCTAACCAGAAGGCTGGTGGTTCAAACCCACCAGCCACTCCTCGGAAGGAAGATTGGGTGATCTACTTCCGTAGTGATACTGCCTCGAGAACCCAAAGAGGGGTCACTATGAGTTGGCTCCAACTTGACGGCAGTGAGTATGTGAGTATGGTGTTTTGTTTTTAGGTTAAAAATCCTACTCATGAGCTGCTACATGGCTTCTTAGAGATGGAATGACCATAATTCCTTAGGGAATCATGAAGTGACTAATAATTAGAATCCTAATAAAATTATATTATAAATCACATTTGTTTCTGTGATATGTGTATAATTGGTTGCAATTCAGTTAATATCATCAAAAAATTACCATAAGCATTCACAAATGATTCGCTGAAGTATTTGGAGAACCAAATGCTGTTACTAATCTATCCATAGTTAATCAATTTCTACGGAAATCAAATTGTTTGTTACAATTTAGAAATGCCCATTAAACACTTCATCTTCAATTCAATTTGATAAATTTTTAATGACATTCAAGATACTCTGGATGCAGTCTATTACACTAGAAGATGTGGAAAGAATTTCTTGTTGACGTTACCTTTCTTTGGACTGTTCCCGTAAGTTTCTCCATTTCCCCCAGGATGGCAGAAAGCACAGATGATTTTCCGGACCCAACTTGCCCTACAACAGCCACTAAAGCACCTTCTGGAATCTTTATGTTCAAGCTGCATGGAAAAGAGGAAATGAATAGACAAAAGGAGAGTAAAACATCCATGAAAAATGAAAGGTACAGTGAGACGTTAAAAAAAATTATCTTCAATATATTTATTTTCTAAATTATGTGAAGCTTTATGGAACTCAGTAATAAAAATTAAAAAAAAAAAAACAGTTATTTTAAATTTTCCCATACTATGACTTACTCTTTTAATACTGGAATCCCTGTTTTATCCCAAGAGAAGGAAGCATTTGTAAATCCAATGGCATGATCTAGGAAGAAAAACAAATAAAATGATGTATTTGAGAACGAATTATCCAGGATTCAAACAAATAGGAAGTGCAAAGAGGAACTGCTGACCTGCTCTGTAGTTTGTTTCAATACTTTGAAGTAGCAGCTCCTCAGTGTTGAGAAAGTCCTCCAAACGATCCAGTGATATCCTTGTCTATCAAAATAAACACAGATGTAATTTAACATGAGTTGACAAAGAGCTTAAAGTGTGTATTATGATTTACAGTGTGATTAAAATTTTTGATGCAAGTTGATGATACAAATATTCTTCAAGTATACTCTGAATAATTTTAATGTTATGAATTCATCCCTAAAGAAAAAGGACAGTTTCAAGAATTAAGATTAAAAGAAATATCTATACAGGGAGACATTAGAAGGAACAAAAATTCCTCATCGTTCTAGAAAGAACATAATATCTGAATAACAAATGATTACAAAAATATTAATTTTTAAAAGTAATTTCAAAATCGTTCAATGAATTTTGCCTCTGAAAATAAACAAAACCACAGTTTTGGCAATAGGACTATTTAGTGTTATTAAAATAACTACACAAATGGTTAGCTGTAGATAGTTTGAATAAAATCTTTTTTTTTTT